ATTAAACAAAGGGTCCCTTTATTAACATTCCCAGTATTGTTAACTATTAAGTGTCCTTAAGGTTAGGACAAAGGGCTGGGGAGGAGTGTCTGCTTTGTAATGCGTTACTTATTATTAATTTTATTAATATTAATATCTATCAGTCAGTCAGTCAATCAATCAATTTATTTATAAAGCCCTTTCCCACCCCGAATCAAGGGGACCCAAGGTGCTGAACACTGTGCAAAGAATCAGCACAATAAAACAGATCTATAATAAAATACAGAGATAAAAACATTTAGAAACAAAAAAAGAGCTAAAAACAACAAAAATAGTGATCAAAAGCATTAAAATGTGAATAAAAACAACTAAGAAACAGATCTAAAATACAGCTTATGCCTTTAAAAGTGGGCAGCGATGTAGACTGTTTGATTTCTTGTGGGAGTTGGTTCCAAAGCCGAGGACCCAGAACTGCAAAAGCATGATCACCCCTAGACTTGCGCTTTGATCGCGGTACCACCAAAAGGTCACTCTGATCTGAATGTAGTGATCTTGCAGGGCCGTAACGGGTCAGCAGGGAGGCTAAATATGGTGGTGTTGATCCAGACAGGGATTGAAAAACAAGGACCAGGATTTTGAACAAGATGCATTTCTTCATGGTAGCCAGTCCAAAGCTGTCTGGAGGGGAGTGACATGCTCCCACTACAAAAATCTGGAAACAGTGTTTTGGACCTGCTGGAGCCAAGTCATTAGGGACGGGCTCAATATTAATATTAGGTTGTTGTTAACATTGCAAGTTAACATTAATAAAGGGACCCTGTTCTAAATTGGCACCAAGCATTCAGATAAATCAAATTCCAGGAGGGTCAGCGAATGTTCTATATACCCTTTAAAACACTCTGTCACATGCTTGTAATGGATGACGTTCAGTACTTAAGGTATTTGTCATGTTGGGCTGCAGCTTTTTGACCCACGACATGCAGAATCATACACTGAGACAAAGGAAAGTAAAAAAGGTTTTATTTTTATGTACGATGGGAGATGGAGATGATGGTCTGAGATCAGGTGGTTCCGGTGGAGTTTGTTTCCTGGTTGTTGGTAAGGCTTAGAGGGAGTAGGCAAGTCACGGCTGGCTGAGCTGGTCGAGTGGGAGTCAGATGTGGCTGGGAGCTGAGCACCAGAGTTCGGGGTGTCCAAGATGGCAGGTGGGGGCTGGAGAGCAGGCGGTCAGGGGTGAGCGACAGGGCTGGCAGACAGGGTTGGAATCCGTTGAGTTTTTCTTTCAGCTGATGGTTTGGTTGGTGGAGGAGAAGTTTCCTGAGGAGGTCGGAGAACAGGACAGATAATTTCAGGAAGGTGAGATACACAAAAAAATAACAAATCTTCAGACATAGGCAAGATGCTGGCAAGAGTTCTACCCAATGCTGAGTATCATCCAGCACTGATGAGTTGTCCCAACGCTCCTTAAATCCCCTGACCACTGATGAACAGATAGGCAGCAGCTGTTCTCCAGACACACCCACCTGCACACAGAGAAGACTCAGCACAACACACAGTTAGACTCAGCACAAACCATGACAGTATTGACCCAAACAGCAGCATAAATCAAGGAAAGATGGACATCAGTGGAAGCTTCTTTTCATTTTATTCTCCAACAGTGCTACCAACAACAACAACCCAGAACAATGGGGAGACAGACAATTTATACAGGTATCCTTAATTGGGAGAATCCATTCAAAGGGGAAAACAGTATAACCTCT